CAGGCTCAGTTACAGCCTGACAGAAAAGCCTACTAGGAGCGTCCTCACTGTGAACATTTACTGAGTTAGTTTACGCTGAGAAAGCTGCTTGCTCCTTAGTTGGATTTACGGAATAAGAGTAGATCTCACTTTATATCTACATTGTCAGCGTTCCCAGGGTTAACACCCACACACATACACACGCCTATAAAAGTCACACAGATGAACACATACAGATGCACAGCCACATCTACATAATATCTGACACTGCACACGCACACAGATGAACACATACAGATGCACAGCCACATCTACATAATATCTGACACTGCACACACACAAATACACTTCCAACTATTATTCACTGATTCTACAATCTCTAACAATCCCTTTCTGTGTCACATATTCCTTGCTCTTTCCGTTTAAACAAGGCAAATCTGTTAAGATCCTAAATGAGTACAGTGATAAACCTCTAATCAGATTTGTCAGTTTATCAAGCTAGTTCATAGGAAATTCTTTTAAGATTCAAAAACAAACATCATAATCAGAAGATGAAAAAATAAATTTCCCATGGAAAATGTGTTCCTTCAAAACACTTGCTCAAAAATGAGCTCTTGTGTTAATTACTGGGAGTAACGATGTCAGCGAGACATTCTGAATCATTTGAGAAGTAAACTAAATTGAACAAAACTGGAAATGTTACAGAGCACAAGTAAGGTTTTGGGTCGAGAAATACACTTCAAGTCCGTTCAGAATTCTAAAAGAGTTCAGTAAATAATGGCTGCTCATCATAAACTTCCCAGGAGCTGAGCAAAGAGTGGAACTGCCTGAGAGAACCAACAGGGAATTAGGAATCAAGAGCAAGGCTTTTTCACTCAGCAGGTGGTGGGAATCTGGAATGCATTGCCTGGGAAGGTAGTGGAGGCCGGAAACCTTACAACCTTTAAAAAATATTTGGATGAGCACTTCAAATATCATAACTTTCAAGGATATGGGACATATGCAGGAAGTTGGGATTAGAGTACATTTGGTGTAGGTGCAGACTCAATGGGCTGAAGGGCCTTTTCTGTGACTCTATGACTCTTCAGGGAAGAGTAAGTGGATAACAGGGAATAAGGAACATGAAAAGGACAATTGAACTCGGGGAACAAGGAATAGTGAATGGAGAACAGGGAATAGGAAATTGCGAATGAGGAGCAGGGAATAGGGAGTGGGAAACAAGGGACAGGGAGCTGCGAATACAGAGTAGGAACAGGAAATAGGGAACGGGAGACATAGAATATGAAGCTGGGAATAGGGAATATTGACTGGAAAACAATGAATATTAAACAGGAAATAACAGGCAGGGGAACAGGGAAATGTAGCAGTGAATTGAATGGGGAGCCAGTAGCAAGGAGCAGAGAACAGATTTTAAGATTGAATGTTATCTTTTGTGATTTTGAAAATGATGAAATCATTTGAAAAGGATTGCAAGAACCAGCCAAGGGGTAAATGGCAGGTAGATCATTGATGTGTGGCCGGTCTGCAGATTAATCTCCAGCATGTGGTAATAAAACCTGCCCATTGTCTGAGGCAAGGTCAGTTCTAAACTTTGTGGTAATCTAATTCCTACCAACTGGAGGGGAACGCAGTACATCTCAGTCAATGCAATCACTGAGTTTGACAGGGCAGCTCAGACTGGTTTCAGTCAATAAATGCCAGCGAATGTCGGGCAGGTTATTCCCTGATCGTTGACAGTAATCAGGAAAACCTCCCAATACCCAATGACCCTTACGTTGCCAACTGATTGGGGTCAACAGACTACTTTCAAACTGATGTAGTGTAGCCCACAGACTGGAACTGGAGGAATCCATGGATTTTAGGTAGATTGATCTCTCTAGTAGATTGATATTTATAGATTGGAGTGAAATTGAGCGACACATTTTGGAAAGATTGAGGACTGATTGATCAATGTTGAATAACTGTTGTTGAATCCTTGGGGATTTTACAGGGGAAGCGATGGCCAAGTGGTATTATCGCTGAAATGCTAATGTTCCCCAGGCAATGTTCTGGAGAAATCTTTTTTTACCAGTTTCAAAATCTCCCCACCCCCGGCCTCATCCCATGACCAACCCTCCCTCTCATCCCCACCTCCTTGACCTGACACAACCTCTCCGTCTTCTCTCCCACCTATCCGCTCCTCCCACCTCACTGTCCAATCCCCACCACTCCTTACCTGCACTCACCTATCACCATCCCACCGACCTTCCCCAGCCCCACCCCTCTTCCCTCTATTTATTTCCCAGCTCCCTCCCCCTCCCCCATTTCTGACGAAGTGTCCCAATCGGAAACGCCAGCTTTCATGCTGCTCTCATGCTGCCTGGCCTGCTGTGTTCCTCCAGCTACACACTGTGTTATCTCTGGGGACCCTTGCTGGATGGTGGAATTTGAATTGAATAAAAATCTGGAATTAAGAGTTTAATGATGACCATGAATCCATGATTGTCAGGAAAACTCACCTGGTTCACTATAGGGAAGGAAACTGCCATCCTTACCTGGCCTGGCCTACATGTGACTCCAGACCCACAGCAATGTGGTTGACTCTTAACTGCCGTCTGGGCAATTAGGGATGGACAATAAATGCTGGCCTGGCCAGCAACACTCTCATCCTGTGGATGAATAAAAAAAAACTGCTTACAGTGAAACTTTTGCAAATGTTTCTGCAGACAGGTGTTCACACTGATTGGAAGGAGATGAACTTCTATAAATTTGAGATTGATCCCCTCATATTAAGGGTTTTAATGGTGTGTAACTTGGTCTCTGCAGGATGGAATGATATTGAAGGTCACAATTTGGGAGGGTAAATTAGGAAAGTGATCCACACCCACATCGTAGATTCCTACATCTGGTTTGGGTAAATGAGTTGTGCAGTTATAAGATGGAAAACAATTCTATTGCCAACAGAAATAGGAATTGTTCAAAAAAACGGGTGGACACAAGTTCATTCATTTCCCTTTAGACTCCATTTAGGCCAAGAACGGAGGGCTCATCTGGAATAGGATCTTAAACTCAAATTCAGGATAAAGTCCCAAAGTGTACGCTTTCTCTTAATGCCACCTGAGTTTGCCTGAGATATTGGAGTTCAGTCTCGATTTGTATCACTCCTCCAATCAGCTTTCAGTGAGTACAGCAGATATCTGCTGCAGCACAGTTACACTGAGGAATGAGAGTGCGGGGGTGTCAAGTGTCAGTTGGATAGAAATCTCTGCAAAGACTGTGTGCAGCTGTGTGAGGGTCCATACATTTCTGCCCCATAGTTTGAATGTTTACACCCAGCAAGGAACCAGGGGCAGGGGTGTCTGTGCTTGTATGGAGATGTTCCAAGATTAATTTTGACTCAGAGGATTCATTGAAACACCCAGAGCAGCAGAATCCATAATTGCTTTTTAAATGGAGTTTGATATCTGTACGGAGAAGGAAAGGAAATGGGGAAGATACATGAAGATGAAACAAAGTGGAAAACTCATTCAACAAATTATTCACATGCAAAAACAGCTGAAAGGTCCCCTTCTTTACTGCACAATTATTACAGTTTTTACTCTGTGTGTGTGTGTGTGTGTGTGTGTCTGTGTCTGTGTCTGTGTGTATATGTGTTTCTGTGTGTCTGTCTGTGCATGTATCTGTGTATATATGTGCCTGTGTGTGTGTATGTGTGTGTGTTTGTGTGTGTTGCTGAACTAGGGAGGCATGGGTTCAGATCCCACAATGGCAGATGGTGAAATTTGAATTTTAAAAAAAATCTGCAATAATGGCAGCTGTGTAGCCACTGCTGTTTGTTGTACAAACTATCTGATTCCATCAATCAGTTTGAAGTCTGTGCCCCTACCTGGCCTCGCCTACGTAGATATGATTCCAGACCCACAGCAATGAGGTGGACTCAACCTCATGTATGTGGTTGTGTGCATATATGTGGTTCTGTACATATATGTAGCTGTGTACATGTATGTAACTGTATACACGTATGTGTGTTTACAGAATTCCTGCATGTTTACATAAAACCTGAGCAGCTCCCATCTGGGATAATAGTGGTTGACAATTCACTGACTTTGACATTACATTCCTTTGATTGTTGATATCACAAATCCAATGCTTTCAAGCACATTAAGTATTTATTCACTAATATTATAACCGTTTCTCAGTGTTGTGTAGATGCTTGTATATTATACTGTGAGTGTACTTTTATAGAGGTGAAGTGTATCTGTGACAGACATTCAGTCGAGCCTATTGCTTAACCTGGTGTGTTTGTGTGTGTGTGTGTGTGTGTGTGAGTGAGACTGTGTGTGTGTGTGACTCTGTGTGTGTGTGTGTGCGCGCGCGCGCGCATGTGTGTGTGAATGAGACTGTGTGTGTGTATGTGTGCATGTTTGTGTGTGTGAGTGAGACTCTGTGTGTGTGTGTGTGCGTGAGACTGTGTGTGTGTATGTGTGTGTGTGTGTGAGTGTGACTGTCTGTGTGCGCGTGTGTGTGTATGAGTGAGACTGTGTGTGTGTTTGTGTGTGTGTGTGTGTGTGTGTGAGTGAGACTGTGTGTGTGTGTGTGTGTGTGTGTGAGTGAGACTCTGTGTGTGTGTGTGTGCGTGAGACTGTGTGTGTGTATGTGTGCGTGTGTGTATGTATGAGTGAGACTGTGTGTGTGTGCGTGCGTGTGTGTGTGAGTGAGACTGTCTGTGTGCGCGCGTGTGTGTATGAGTGAGACTGTGTGTGTGAGTGAGACTGTGTGTGTGTGTGTGTGTGTGTGTGAGAGTGAGACTGTGTGTATGTGAGAGTGAGACTGCATGTGTGTGTGTGTGTGTGTGTGTGTGTGTGTGTGTATGAGTGAGACTGTGTGTGTGAGAGTGAGACTGTGTGTGTGTGTGTGTGTGTGTGTGTGTGTGTGAGAGAGAGTGAGACTGCGTGTGTGTGTGCTTGTGTGTGTGTATGAGAGACCTACAGGAAGACATGGTTTCTGATCTGAAGACCTTGATATTTTCTTTCACCAACAGGCATCTCTGCAGACCCTGTCACAACCGAGAGAAGGCGAAACGCCTTGGCCAGTACATCTGTCAGAAATGCCACCTCATCATCGACGAAGTGCCACTCATGTACAAGAGTGATGCTTACCACGCTGATCATTTCAACTGTACCCACTGTGGGTGAGTCAGAACAACAGCTCGACCATTATGCAGGAGTGTGGCAACAAAGAAAACAGGACCAGGAGTACGCCTTTCGGCCCATCCGGGCTGGTCCACCATTCACTGATGATTAAGGCTGATCATCTGAGCCAGTGCATGCAGTTGCTGGGGTGTAAATGGATTCTGTTCTTGAGTTTGTTCATAAGTTAATTTGTACATACAGTGCTGGATAATATCAAAAAGCTGATTGTAAGCATGAGGAAACATTAGTGTGCCCGATCTTTAAAATTACACCCCTCCCACACCTCCATTTGGGATCACAATCATAAGTAGGAATGTTTGTAAGTTGGTCATTCATAAATCAGGGATTCCCTGTACCTTGTCCCACTTTTGTCCCAGTTCCTTTGATCCCTGTAGCCCTAAGAACTGTATCTCTCTAATGACTGTGGATCATTTAGATTACAGATCAAGTAATACTCACTGCACGCATTGTGGATCAAATACCAGTCAATGATTATCTCTGTAGCAAGGAAAAATCAATCTGTTGCCCCTTGACATACCATCACTGAATCCCCCCATCATCAACATCCTGGGGGTTACCATCGACGAGAAACTCAACTGGTCTCACCGCATAAACACAGTGGCTACAAGACCAGGCCAGAGGCTAAGAATACTGTGGTGAGTAACTCCCCTCCTGACTCCCCAAAGCCTGTCCACCATCTACAAGGCACAAGTCAGGAGTGTGATGGAATACTCCCCACTTGCCCTGGATGGGGGCACTTCCAACAACACTCAGGAAGCTCAACACCATCCAGGATAAAGCAGCCCACTTAACTTAAACATCCTCAGCTTCTGTCACCAAAGGCCAGTAGCAACAGTGTGTGCCATCTACAAGATTACAATGCAGCAGTTCATCCAAACTGGTTCGACATCCCCTTTCAAACCCAGAGGCTTCGCCGTCTAGAAGGGCGGCAGATACATGGGAGCACCTGTAAACCAAGGCACGTTCAATCCTGACGTAGCAATACATCGTTGTTCCCTCACTGTTACTGGGTCAATTCCCTTCCGAACTAGGCTGTGGGTATCCCTACATCAGATGTACTGGGGGAGTTCGAGAAGGCTGTTCATAAACACCTGGTCAAGGCTGGGAAATAAATATGCACATCCCAGGGGCAACGTAGATGACCCACTGACTATTTGCATTCATTGTATGTTATTAAGGTGACAAGAAAACATTACTCTCTATACCGATTATGTCTCAGTGTTGCCCTCTGATTGTTACTCAGTAAAGGTAGCATAATGCCCGCAGATTACTGAATTAGCATCTTCTGGGAGCATGGAGTCAAAGGCACAAACAGCGGTATTACTTTTTGTAAAATCTGGAAGTAAAAACTTGTCTCAGTATGGTGACCCTCCTGTCAATTGGTTCACTGATGTCCCCTAGGGAGGGGAATCTGCTGTCTTTACCAGTTCTGGCCTACACGTAACTCTAAACCCACAGGAATGTGCTTGAATCTCAACCCTCCTCTGAAATGATACTCAACTACCCTGGTTCAAGTTCACATAGGGATGGATAACAACCATTGGCCTCGTCAGTAATGCCCACATCCCGTAAAAGAATAAAGAGAATTATATGTGTATATTTTTACCCCATGTGGGTTATGTAGGATACCTAGGACCACAGTATTGTTCCAGTGCAGAAGGTGACCATTCAGCTCCTTGTGCCTGTACTGTGGCACATTAAATGAGTGCCATTACCTTGTGCCAACCTCTTGTCCAAGCCCTAGCACATTATTTTTATCGGAATAATCACTCAACGCCCTCCGTTATTACGTCCGGTGCTCACAGAGATTAGCGATTGACAACTTTATCTGTTCCTCTCATGTTGCTGTTTGCACAGAGCAGCAATGACTTGTCGCTTAGGGTGTCTCTCGACTTCAATCAATGCTAATTGTATTTACAGTTATATCCATTTTCTGACACCTCTGTGTGTCTGCCACACCCAATCCTTTAGTTACTGTCCCCTGCTGCACACACAGTGACTGAATCGAATAATTGAGAATTTTGTTTTATCCCGTTGGCAACGGACGTATAGAATCCTTACGATGGGGAAGCAGGCCATTTGGCCCATCAAGTCCACACTGAACCTCCAAAGGGCATCCCACCCAGACTCACACCACTTCTGTATCCCTGTAACCCTGCGTTTCCCATGGCTAACCCACCTAGTTTGCACATCCCTGGGCACTATGGGCAATTTAGCGTGGCCAACCCACCCTAACCTGTGCATCTTTTGGACTGTGGGGGGATACTGGAGCAAACCCACGCAGACACAGGGAGAATGTGCAAATTCCACACAGACAGTTGCCCGAGACTGGAACTGAACCCGGGTCCCTGGCACCATGAGGCAGCAGTGCTAACCACTGTGCCACCCCTACGTCTGGATGGTAAATGTTTAAGTCTGTTAATGTTGGTAATGGGTGTGTGTCTGGTAATTTACAGGAAGGAGCTGACAGCTGAGGCTCGAGAGCTGAAGGGGGAGCTGTACTGTCTTCCATGCCATGACAAAATGGGTATTCCAATCTGTGGAGCATGCCGTCGGCCAATTGAGGGGCGAGTGGTTAATGCTCTGGGCAAGCAGTGGCATGTTGAGGTGGGTACTCCAGTGGCCGTAAACCCCGGGATACCCATCGAGCTAGAACCTATCGTAGGGAGTGGGTGCATGGACAAACTGAACACTCGCTCCCTTATCTCAGGCTGAGTCAGGTGTTTACCATTTAGGGTGCCCTGTCTGACCGAGCTTCCCATCCCACGTCTACCCCGTCCCCCAGATTGTCAGCTTCTCCGTGGCGCAGTGGTAGTGCACACATCAGTGGGCCAGGAGACCCAAGTTCAAATCCCTACCTGCTCCAGAGTTGGGTCGTAACATCTCTGAACGGGGTGATTAGAATATATCGACACTTCTGTAATGTCACTGCCCCACCTCAGCTCTTCCAGTGCTGAAAACCCTCATCCACAGCCTGATTACCGTTAGACTCAATTATTCCAGCCCGCTGATTGCTCATTAACTTCGGGGGGGAGGCTACTGCCTGTGTTTCTAATTCACACTGAGTCCTGATCATGCATCAACCCCATTCTCAATGGCTCGTGGTCCAGCAGTGGCTCCATTTGTTTGCAAATCCCCCCTAGCCTCACCTCTGTGATGTCCTACAATCACCCAGTTCTGGACCCTTCAGCACCCCCCACTTTAATCCCTCCACCGTTGGTGTCTGTCCATTCTGCTACCAGGACCCAACGTACTGGAGCTTCCTTTCTGAGCCTCTCTGTCTCTCTGCCTCCCTTTCGTTTCTTAAAAGCTAGCTTTTAGATCAAACTTTTAGCTGTCTGTCCCACATCTCACACGACTCAGTGTCAGGATCTGTCCCACAACACCATGGTGGGATAATTTGCTGTCTTACGGGTGCCACCTGGAAGTACCAGTTATTTGGGTTGTTGTTATTGATGGGAGATACTTTCAGCCTGTCTGGTAATCAGGAGGGGGACCTTTTGAGATCAATAATATACCCAGGGCTCAGAGAAAGGAAAGTTTTCAGTTTGGAAAATGTCGCTGTGCCCGCTGATACCCCAAACCTCGTGTGTTTTCTGAAGAGGCCATTGTAGCGAGCGCCAGCCACAGGGTGAATGGGGCACAATGGCCTGGCAGACCATTCGGCCCATTGCGGGACCGTCCTGGCAGGGTTGCCCCAACGTGGGCCTCCTCCTCTTCGTCACTCCCATTTATTCCCTTACAACATCCTTGCGGTGAAGGGGGTTCAGCTCTGAGGAAGCTCTTGTCTTGTGCAACTGAGATACTGAGTTCCTAAACAGGAGGATTCAAGAATCACAAGATGGTCCATTTGCTGGAGGGGTCACAGGTCAGGGAGTGTATTGGCTCACATGTGGTCCTCCTACCAAGCTGCCTCCTCCTGATGATCTAGTCACACTTGTAGGGTGGGTATAGAGCATCAGTGCCAGTCAGTTACTGCCACAGTATGGGAGCAGGCACAGCGCTGCTGCAGCCCTTCATACACTGCAGCACCTTCATGGTAAAAAGGAACATTCGAAATCTGCAGCTGTGGCCAGCCCTTTGTGTGTGACACCTTCGTGCTGTGGGGAATGGAGACTTCCTCAGGTGTATCGCAGGGCCAACTGAACAGGGTTTAAGCCCACTCCAGCCCCTCTCCTGCCGATGAGAGATTACCAGTTCACTAAAGCACCGCACCCCCACCCCCACCCCCCTTTGCTGAACCCTCAATGCGGGAGTTGGAGTGGAAGGAAGGAAAATCCGCTGTGGATTTGGAGCCTGTTCCTTTGGGAAGGGGCAGCGATCCCGGGTGACGGGGGACAGGGATGGTGAGGTTACTACCAGCCCTGTCGCCATCGACACAGTGCCCAGCAGGGGGAGGGGCACAGGCAGCAGGTACCCAGGGGATCACCGCCACATCGCCCGCCAGCCTGACCTGAAACCGTATCGCAGCTCTCACTGGCCCCTGCGTGCCAACCCAGCGGCTCTCCTCCTAGCGAGCACTTGTGGGCGCCTTGAATAGCCACAGCTCAGGAAAGCAGTTCACCACCAGGCCATAAGGGCGAGTAGCAGGGGCATTAAGGAGCATTGATGTACAGAGGGATTTGGGGTGCAGGTCCATAGCCCTCTGAAAGTGGCAGCGTAAGTGGGGAAGGTGGTAAAGAAAGCGTGCTGGCCTTCACCATTTGGGGCATTGAGTCTAAAAGATGGCTAGTCATGTTGCGGCTGTACAAAACGTTAGTTAGGTCAAACTCAGAGTATTGAGTGCAGTTCCAGTTCCCACACTATAGGAAGGAGGTGGAGATTTTGGAGCAAAGGTTATTCAGGATGTTGCCTGGATTGGAGTGTATTAGCTACAAGGAGAGGTTGGATTGTTTTCGCTAGAGCGTCGGAGGCTGAGGGGTGACCTGATAGAGTATGTGAAATAATGAGAGGCATGGATAGGGTGGATAGTCAGAGTCTGTTTCCTAGGGTGGAAATCTCAAATACTAGGGGACAGATGTTTAAGGTGGAGGGAGAAAGTTTGAAGGAGATGTGCGAGGCAAGTTTTTTTACTCAGAGGATGGGAGGTGCCTGGAATGCGCTCCCAGGGGAGGTGGCAGAAGCAGATATGATAGCGACATTTAAGAGGCATTTAGACAGATCCATCTAAAACCCATCTGGTTCAGTAATGTCCTTTAGGGAAGGAAACTGCCATCCTTACCTGGTTTGGCCTATATGTGACTCCAGACCCACAGCAATGTGGTTGACTCTGAACTGCCCTCTGGGCAATTAGGGATGGGCAATAAATGCTGCGTGGCCAGTGACACCCTCATCCTGTTGATGAATAAAGAAAAAAAGACGCAAGAACAGGCAGGGAATAGAGGGATACAGATCACGTGCAGGCAGATAGGGTTCGTTTAGAATGACAACATGGTCAGCACAGACATGGTGGGCTGAAGGGCCTGTTCCTGCGCTGTGCTGTACTGTTCGATGTTCCACATTGGACTAGGGAAGAGCCATAAGCACTGGGCTCACCAGTTTTGCCCACGTTCTGAGAATGATTGTGGAGATTGCCGAAATTAATGACTTTGTTTCTGTTCTGTCTCCCGCAGCATTTTGTTTGTGCAAAATGTGAGAAGCCATTTCTGGGGCATCATCATTTTGAACGGAAAGGACTGGCCTATTGTGAGAAACACTACAACCAGGTACTGACCCTACGCCTGTCCTTATTGTTCACTTGTGTAAAATGCTGTTGTCTCATTGTCACTGCTTGTTAGTGAATGTGATATTGCTATTGATTGAATTATTGATACTGAAAGCATGTTACATGTACAATAGGTTAAGGATGATAGCTAACCTATGACCTAACTCCATCCATATATAACCATTCTGGCACAAAATGAATCAGTCAGATTGAAAATGATGAATGGAGCTACAGTCTCTTTCTTTTGGTCAGAGAGAGTTTTGCACTTTTGCTTGATGGCATGTCTCATAATGTCCCTGCAGGGTTGGGATTTTCGATTCCTCTACTTTGTCCTTGATTAGCCATCAGGAGAAATCATTGCTAACCGTTGATCCTATCCGTTTGCTTCGAAATTCTTCAAGCTTCAGTCAAATCACCCCTTTGTCTCCCACATCTCAGGGTATACAAGTCTAGTTTACATAATCCCTTCATTTAATCTAACCATTGGAGACCTGGTAACATTCTGGGGAATCTATGGTGCGCAGGAACAGACCCAAGAGGAGGTTCCTCCAATCTGCCCACACCCCTTCTCACAGGGTGCCCAAAGATCAGGAGTGTGGGTCTGAAGTGCAACCAAAAATGCAACAGAAGATTTTTCACATAACTAAATCAGGGAAGCAGGCTTCACCCTGATACCCTCAATTACCCCGTCAGGCTCAATTAGACTCAATTAGATTGTTGCATAAAATTTGGCTGTTATTTTCAAGGAGAGAACAGGGATTATCTGTTAATTAAGGGATATTTGGATGAGAACAACGGGGACCCAGTGATCCGAGTGTTAAGAGTTCCGAGGAACAGTCACCTGGCCCGAAGCGTTAACTCTGATTTGTCTCCACAGATGTTAGCAGACCTGCTGAGTTTTCCAGCAATTTCTGCTTTTGTTTCTGATTTACAGAATCCACAGTTCTTTTGGTTTTTGTTTTGTTAAGAGTTTTGTGTTACGTAAGTTGAAATAACAGTGTCTGGCTGGACTCTGCCTAAGCAGCATTTAACCTCTAGTGTTTAACACTGACATCCTACAGGAAATTTACCATCTGCTCTCTAAAACACAGATCAGTCGAAGTTTGGCCCAGTGTATTGTTTATACTCTCATTGATTTTACTAAATATTCCTTAGATTGTTAAGAAAATACTCTGTGTACTGTCAATGCCCTGTAACTGTCTGTGGTTCTTTCATTTCTATGCTCTACCAGCTCCACCACCTTACATGGTGCTATATTTAGTCTCAATGGGCTGAATGGCTACCTTTGGTTCCATAATGGTTTCCTGATTCTATTGTGCCTGACCTCATTTTATCTAAATATTACACAGATTCCAGGGGGAAGTCTTATCTTTCACGACAGCACCACACCCTCCTCCCCCTTCACTCATCCATCCCATGTAGGAGTTGTTAATGTTCATGAATCCCGGTTCTGCTGTCTACCAGCTTCACACTCCCTCCTCACAATCCTGGCCCCTCGATCTTGGCACGCAAACAGTTCACCGTTTGTAGCGAAACAAACTCGTTCCTATCAATGCTGCAATGTTATTCCCAGATCTATCCTCCCTGAAATACTAAATCCCAAAAGTCCTTTCCGTTATCCTTCATTTACTCCAGTGTAACTGGAAACTGCCGTCCCCATTTCAATCTCATTCCAGCGTGGAGATATTCTCTCCTTTAGACAAAGGGCATTCTAATGATGACCATGTCGATTGTCAGAAAAACCCATCTGCTTCACTAATGTCCTTTAGGGAAGGAAACTGCCATCCTTACCTGGTCTGGCCTACATGTGACTCCAGACCCACAGCAATGTGGCTGACTCTGAACTGCCCTCTGGGATGGGCAACCAATATTGGCATAGCCAGCGACGCCGTCACCCCACGAATGAATATAGAAAAATAAAACCTCAGCGAATATTGTAACAAAAGGAAAGATCTGATACCAGAAGCCAACTTTCGAATCAAGGCATGTACCGGATATAAGATGAATAGTTGTGTAAAAGGTGTGTATAGCCCTGTTTCAGCACAAGATTGTCACCTTATTTTGTCACATTATGAGGAAACGACAAGAAACTTGGTGGAATTGAAAAGAGAAACGATCTTAGTTGTGCAGGAAGGGAATGGATTGCAGTCCTGTGATTGTAAATTTTGTACTTTTCCGAAGTTCCTATGTGTTTTCCAGTGCAAAAATCACAATATTTAACAAAACGAGTTGAAGACTTCGAAAAACTGAAGAACCTCCATCCTTGGAGAATGTTAGAAACGAACAGAGGCCATTATCAGTGCTGTCTCCTTCACAACAGTTAGAGCTCTAGCTTGTCCATAAGACTATAAGAAATAGGAACAGGAGTAGGCTATTTGGCCCCTCAAGCCTGCTGCACCATTCAATAGGATCTAACGTTCTCCTTGTTCACATTCCTGCCTTTTCCCCTGTATTCTTGATTCCCTGACTGATAAGAACCTATCTATCTCAGCCTTATATATGCTCAAGAACTCTGCCGCAGAGCTCTCTTTGGTAGGGAGTTCCAAAGACTCACAACCCTCCGAGAGAAGAAATTCCTCCTCGTCTCAGTCTTAAATTGGCCCCGTTATTCTGAGACTATGCGTTCTGGTCCTAGACTCTCCCATGCAGGGGGATCATCCTCTCTGTAGTTACTTTGTCAAATCCCTTATGAAGCCTACATGGTTCAATTATATCACCTCTGATTCTTCTAAACTCCAATGAGTAGAGCCCCAACTTGTTTAGCCTTTGCTCATAAAACAGCTCTTCCATACCGGGGATCAGTCCAGTGATCATCTTTGTCCATCGCATTAAAAGTTAAAAGTAGCTTTTCTCATTTTCACAGTTTTATGTGGTAGATCCAAGAAAAGTCAAGCCTTTTAAGACTTATATCAAGACTATATTAAATTGTGAAGTGTATTAAATTTACTTCCCAGATTTCGACCACCTTCATATTCCTTGATTCTGCTTTTTGTCACTCATACAGTGATATAACCTTAATGTAATTCGGTGTGATCATGTTAATGTTCCTCTCTGTGATACTGACAATGTTGCTGACTGAGCTGATGTTTTTAATAGAGAGCAGAGCCCAGTCCCCAGAGTCATATACATTTCTAAGTGTACTCATCCACTGCCTGTTTGTTTCCGCAGCTGTTTGGAGATGTTTGCTATCATTGTAACCACGTGATTGAGGGAGACGGTAAGTGCATCTTTCAGAGTCAGTGCATTGAACTGTGATCCTCACACAAACAGATCATCATTCTTCTGAGCATTATCTGTCTGCTTTATGTTAGTGACTCAATCATTACACTATGATGGCAGTTTCTAATTCTGTAAGTTCCCATTTCCACTCTTCATCCTGTTTCCTGTCCCCAGTCCTCATCCAGGGGTAACAGCATCCTGACCCACACCAGATGTGACAAGAAAATCTCATTGTTTTTCTAGGCCATTCAACCCATCACCTCCATACTGGCCCTCGGCAGGGAGCAGTTCCCCTACATTCCCAACCTCCTGCCTTTACCCAGTAGCCCTGCAACCTCCTTCTGTTCGACAGTGCTCCAATTCCCTTTCTAATGTCAGAATGAGAACCTGTCTTTACTATACTCGCAGGCATTGCATGCCAGGTCCTATTCGCTCCTTGTGTATAAAAGTTTCTCCTCGTGTCATACTGCTTCTTTTGCCAAACACCTTAATTCTCTGCCCTCTGCCTATCTGTCCTTTCTTTAAACAGACTTGACCCTTTCCACTCTGCCAGAGCTCTCACGATGTTGAATATCTCGGTCGAATGCCTCAAAGACAGCCCCAGCTTCTCCAGTCCATGCACATTAACTAATGTTCCTCATCCCTGGAACCATTCCCCTGAATTTTTTCCACATTCTGTCTAATGCCTTCAATTTCTTCCTAAATTGCTCTGAAAGCTGCAGTTGTAGAGCAAGCCAGTGTTTTGTAGAACAAGGAACTAAAACACCAGTGGATGCTGGAAATCCGAAGCAAAATCAAAAAATGTTGGATACAGACTGGCCCAAACACAGAGAAATTGAGTCTCTGCTTCAGCTCATGACCTTCTCATCAGAACACTATAGATAGAGTTTTACACGTTTGCTACAACTCCGTTTCTCTATGTCCCTATTTCGAAAATTCAAAATCCTTTATGGTTTATTAGTCATCCCTGTGTTATCTCACTCCATATTCTAACTCTCAACTTAACAACTGACTTCATCGAAGTGTTATCACCGTTTCCAATACTGTCACAATCTCAATACACTGCTGAAAGACTTTGGCCAATAATTACTCAATCAGATGATAACTTTGCTCAGGCCCAATTTTGTAGCCATTGTGCTGTTGCTGCTTTTATCTCAAGGGGGTTCAATTTTGATAAAATCTCTTCAAACGCCTCTTGAAAGTCAGATCCACAGCACTGACTGCCCTGTCCCTATCCAATCTCTCCGTCACCTCATCGAAAAACTCCATCAGGTTTGTCAGGCAGGATTTCCCCTGATCGAATCTGTGCCCCTGGCTTTGCTGGTGCTCTGGCTGTTCATTTTCCACTGGATGGTCGGTTCTAAAAGCTGCCCTGGTACTGAGACTGTATTGGCTGGTGTAAACCTCTAACACTTGTTTTGGGTCAGGACTGTAACGTTTACAATTCTCCGATGCTCTGGAGCCATCCCCATATCCGAGCTGGAGAGAGGATTTTGACCAGTATCTCCCCGGTTTCTGCCCCTTGTGTCCCTCAGCAACCAATAACGTACCACAGCCACAAAGGATGAGGTATGCATTCCAGATACTGCTGGTCTCTAAAGTATCTCCACTTTATCTACTTTATCCCAATCCATTATTTCGACACCTTGGAGATTTACATTAAATCTAGCAAGCTCCTCTTCCTCAGTAAACCCTGATGCGTTGTACCTGTTCAGAACTTTAATCATATCCCTGTCTCCACGGATAGATCTCCATTTTGGTATGTAATGAACCTTCTTGGCTCTCTGACATCACTTTCCCTGTTAATGAATCAATGGAAGATTTTCGGATTCTCTGTGATGTTAGCTGCCAGGCTGTTCCTATGCTGTCTCTTTGCTGCTCTTATTTCCTGTTTTACTCTCTCTCTGCCTCCTTCTCCCTTGTATGATCAACTTGACCAAATGTCTCCTTTTGCAGCTTATCCTATTGCCTAACTGTTTTGCCTCACATCGCTACTGTTGCCTGCCATTTCCCCCCGTTTGCGAATGGATCGAGACTATAGCTTAACCAGCTTCTCCTACTAGTTACCTTGGTTGTATTTCTGCTTGTCACATTTTGACTCAAACTCCTCCTCAATTTGCAGGAACTAGATCACCTCTGAGTAGGTACATTTTTAGGCTGTGTTACTCCTTGTCCTACTCCATAACTAATCTGACCGCAAAGATATGATCACTATTCCTGAGATGTGTCAATGGATATACCAATGAATCAAAGCGAAATACTCAATTGAATGAATGAATCAATACTTAGAGTTTCTCAATACGTGGTGTTGAACACAATGATTGTGTAATGTGTTAAAGCTGAAGGATTCAGGAGGGTATTGGATGATTATTTGGAAAGAAATAGTGTGCAAGGATATGGGGAGAAGACAGGAGATTGCTGCTAGGTAATGACATTCATTTGAAGAGCCAGTGTGGGCATGATGGGCTGAATGGCCTCTTTCTGCCCTGAATCATTTCTGTGATTCTGTGTATTGTGAAGAGGTGATAGATTTGCTCAAGGTGATTGAAGGAGCTATTTGGGGAGATAGCAGGAACTAATTCGTCTGGTGGGAGAGTCCAGAACAAGGGGCGATCACCTTGAATTTTGAGCCCGGCCAATCAGGAAAGCACTCTTCCCGCAAAAAGGAAGTGGAAATTTGGAACTCTCTTTGTCAAGAAAGGCTGGTGAGGGTTGTGGCTCATTTGGACATTACAAAAAAGAGATTCATGTTGAGTGAGTCACAATTTGCAGAACTGAGTGTAGCAATGGAGTTAAAATACATATCAACAGTGGTGCAGTTGAAAAACAGAACAGGTATGAGGGGGTGAATGGCCTCCTCCTATTCCCCTAAGCCATGAGACTGTTTCAAATGTAGAGATGGGTAATGAGAGTAGGGGCACTGATATAATGGGGTTATAATTGGATTAGTAATCCCAAGACCCTGGGGTTACAATCCCAGTGGAACTGAAATTCGTTGAATGAAAAATCCAGAATTAAAAACTCATGGTGCCTATTGATGATTGTAAAATCCCATTGGTTCACTAATGTCCTTTAGGAAAGGAAACCTGGCCTACACGCGACTCCAGACCCATACTAATATGGTTGACTCTTAACCACCTTCTGAAATGGCCCAGTAAGCCAATCAATTCAAGAACAAGAGATAACAGGATCTAGACCTAGACCTAGGCCCGAAACGTCAGCCTTCCTGCTCCTATGATGCTGCTTGGCCTGCTGTGTTCATCCAGCTCTACACCTTGCTATCTCAGATTCTCCAGCATCTGCAGTTCCTACTATCTCTGAAACAACTCAAGGACAACTTGGGGGACGGACAACAAGGTGCTCACCTAATATGGCTGTATCCTATGAAGGAATAAGCAAACAAATGTTTAAAGGATTTGTAAGAGTAGAAAGAGAGAGTCAAAGTAATGTCTACATGTCAAGATTGAACTATTATTTCGAAGAACAACATAATGGGACATAATGGAAAGCTGCATTGACATAATTTAATGCAGGCTTCAGCAGGGAAGACCAGGCCTTGTGCTGCTCATGACGATAGAGAGTGGGTGAGAGGCAGTGCCAATGATGGCTGTGGTGGAAGGTTTGAAAGCAGACAGTAACAGTGTCCTTCTTCTGTTCCAGTGGTCTCAGCTCTGAACAAGACCTGGTGTGTTCACTGCTTCACCTGTTCCACCTGCAATGCTAAGCTCACCCTGAAGTAAGTGGGTACCATTGGGCTCTTTGACCACCCCGGGCTGCCCCAGTGCTCGCTGCGAGCGAGGCCATTCCCACATTCGGCTCATTGTGTGACAACTCTGATACTTCAGCTGGAGAGACGGTATGGCTGATGCCTTCAAGGGTCACACAACTGTCTCCTCGCACTGTGGTCATCCCCCGTGAAACAGAGCAAGGCTCGATAGCTGCTTTGTACTGAGTTAACGCTCCTCGGAATTCTTAAAATCTCCCCGGAGTTTTTGAGCTCGGATGAAATAAAACCAGCCAGGACTCTAGCTGCCGATTGCTATCAAACAACACCCAAACTTCAGGACATGGAGTGAAAATGGGGCTTACAGAATCTTACAGAACAGGAGGAGTCCACTCAGCCCACATCTTGGACTTTGAAAAAGCCCCCACACTTTCCCCATTGTCCTGACGCTATTGTGCACCATGCCCAACCCCCCACCGGCTTTGAGTAGTTATCCACTTCCTTTTTGGAAGTTCCAATTGCAGCTGCCTTCCACGGCTTTTCAGACAGTGCCAGCACAAAATAAATACTTCACATCTCTCCCTCTGCTTTTATCAGCAACGCTGGTAAACCCATGCTCTCTGTTTATTGACCCTGATGCCGAAGGCCTCTATTAAATCTGACATTACCCCTCTCTGCTGTAGGCTGCTCCTGTTTCTCGGTGGAACTGAAGTCCCATATCCCTGCTCCCATCCTGGTAAATCACCTCCAGATCCTCACATCTTGGCATCATTCCTTAAAGTCTGGTGATCGCCCTGTGTATTGTTTTAAAGTCCTGTTTGGTTCATCAATGCCCCTTTCGGGAAGGAATCTGCCTTCCTTACCTGATCTTGCCTACATGTGACTCCAGACCCACAGCAATGTGTTGGCTGTTAACAGCCCTCCCTGGGTGACCGATGCTGGCTGATCTAGAAACATCCCTGTCCTGTGAGTGGATTTAAATAAAACCAGTGACTTAGTGTTTAGCACTGCTGCCTCACAGCGCCAGGGACCCGGGTTCGATTCCAACCTCAGGCGACTGTCTGTCTGGAGTTTGCACATTCTCCCCGTGTCTGCGTGGGTTTCCTTCGGGTGCTCCGGTTTCCTCCGGGTGCTCCGGTTTCCTCCCACAGTCCAAAGATGTGCAGGTTAGGGTGGATTGGCCATGCTAAATTTCCCGTAGTGTTCAGGGGTGGGTTATAGGGTGATGGGTCGGGGTGGGATGCTCTGTGGGTCAGCGTAGACATGTTGGGCTGAAGGGCCTGTTTCCACACTGTAGGGATCCTATGAAATTGTTAAAAGGTTTTAAGAAATTTTGTACTCTATGTTTCTAGTCACAAGGCCCAGGATACTTTTATAACTGAACTGGGGTGGACCCTACAGAGTGGGATTTAGAGGTAGGGGTCAGCCCCTCCCACCCACTCCACCATTTTTACTGACCTGTCCGTCCCAAGCCTGGCCAATTTTAGTTATCCCACAGCTTTATGGGAAGTGTCTGTGATCCAACTGTTCCTTCTGCCTGAAATCAGCGGCTATTGTACCAGACCGGGATCCTCGCTCTAACATCACTGCCCATATCACTGAAGGTACAGTTAGCCTATACCATGGGGTATAACCGTACTACTTACTGTTTATCAGGCAGCAGAAATAATTTCCTTCCGCATTCTCTGACTGTAAATCAGCTCTCCCTACCCTCCAGCCCACTTCCCAGCCTGACTTGTTCCATTCACATCAGTAATCAGCCTTGGTTTTCCACCCTCACAACACAGTCATAGAGTCATTCAGCCCGGAAACAGGCCTTTCGGTCCAACTCATCCGTGCTGACCACATTTCCTAAACTGTACTAGACCCATTTGCCTGCATTTGGCTCATATCCTTCTGAACCTTTCCTATTCATGTACTTGCCCAAACGTCTTTTAAACGTTGTAATTGTACCCACCTCTACCACTTCCTCTGGCAGCTCGTTCCACATACGCACCACCCTCAGCGTGAAAAAGTTGGATAAAGGGGTCTGTTTCTGTGCTGGATGATTCTCGGAATTAGACATGTCTAACTTCCTTCAATCTCCCTTGCTCCAAGGACAACAGTCCCAGCTGTTCCGGTCTCCCCTTGTGGCTAATAGTCCCTGATCCCTGGAATGGAAATGCTTGAGTTGCCATTTGGTTTGGAGTTAAACTGCCTTTGAATCTGATATTTGTAAACATGCATCAGGCTTTGAGAGCTGAGGCTGTTGTGTCTTTTTCTTGTTTGTGCCAGGAATAAGTTTGTGGAATTTGAGATGAAGCCGGTGTGTAAGACGTGCTACAAGAAGTTCCCTTTGGAGCTGAAGAAGCGACTGAAGAAAATGTCTGAGAAGGGTGGTCACAAATGAGGCCCTTGGTCTCAAGATCCAGTTGATTCCACATGATCTCTTCTGCGCTCCATAGCAACAGTAAATGATCGATTGTAGTGGATCGCAGAGGTCAGTGGGAGGCAGATGGATGATTAACTGAAACTAACATTTCATAATCATTATATATATATATATAATATATATATAGGCCAACATTGTATTTTTCGAGGGCTTTTCTTGAGGGCAACCTCTTGACTTTTGCCGGTTACTTTTTGGTTTTCGGGGGCTCCTTTTTCATTCTAACCAATTAGTTTAGTCAGTGATGCAATCACATTGTAACACCACCGCTATGTTTGTGTTGATGCACTGTGTATCCGATCCCCTACAGAAACAGAGTTAGAAGAGTTCATCAATATCCTCAATAATTGCTCACACTCCGCCAAACGTAAAGCCTCCATCCCACTGTATTTAAATTGACACAAACTAGCACTAGTTAGTAACAAACCTTGTTTTCAAACGAACTGACGTGTCACAAAAATAAATGCTTCACATCTCTCCCTCTGCTTTTATCAGCAACGCTGGTAAACCCATGCTCTCTGCTTATTGATCCTGATGCCGAAGGCCTCTATTAAATCTGCCATTACTCTTCCCTGCTCCTGTCTCTCAGTGGAACTGAAGTCCCACATCCCTGCTCCCATCCTAGTAAATCAGCCACAGGAGAGAACCAGAGCAGTTCCTCACAGTGTCCATTTGTGGCAGCGACTTTTCTCTGACTATTTTGTCTGTGGTGGAATTTTCCCTGGTATCTGGGGGTAGCATGGTGGCTCAGTGGTTAGCACCTCACAGCACCAGGGACCCTGGTTCGATTCCAGTTCTCGGGTGACTGTCTGTGTGGAGTTTGCACATTCTCCCCGTGTCTGTGTGAGTTTCCTCCCACAGTCCAAAGATGTGCAGGTTAGGTGGATTGGCCATGCTAAGTTGCCCTACGATGTCCAGGGATATGCAGACTAGCAGAGGCAATGGCCTAGTGGTATTATTGCTGGACTGTTAATCCACAGACCAAATAATGTCCTGGTCACCTGGGTTCAAATCCTGCCACAACAGATGATGGAATTTGGATTCAATAAATATCTTGAATTAAGAGTCTAATGACTGTGAATCCATTGCTAAATGTTGGAAAAACCCATCTGGTTCACTAATGTCCTTTAGGGAAGGAAACTGCCATCCTTACCTGGTCTGGCCTACATGTGACTCCAGACCCACAGCAATGTGGGTGATTCTTGACTGCCCTCTGGGCAATTAAGGATGGGCAATAAATACTGCCTGACCAGCAACACCCTCATCCCATAGATGAATATAAAAAAAAAGGTGGGTCAGCCATGGGAAATGCAGGGTTATGGGGACAGGGTAGGGGGATGGATATGGGCGGGGTGCTCCCCAAAAGGTTGGTGTCAACTCAATGGGCCGAATGGCCTGCTTCCACACTGTAGGGATTCTATGATCTGGGGAACTTTTAGGGCAAGTCTGTTCACCACCCCCATGTATTTTGTTCCTTGCTTTATATAGTATGTTGGGGGGAAGTGGTTGTGCAGGTTAACTATTTGCGTAATGCCTTTTAATAAGCATAAGCATCAAAATTCAAATTTTGCCAACGCCATTGGTAATAGTACAGATCCAAAATTACAAGATAACTTTAGCACTTCCATCTGGTCTGAACTGTTAACCTGAGATTCCCCCATCCACTGATCACCCAAACGCACTCCCCTCCCCAAATTTCTTAACACTTCAGAGAATGTAGTGGTAACAATAACTTGCATTTGAATAGCACCCTTAACATAGCCAAAAGTTGCACTTTTACCTGAGTTCCAGTGTCAGCAATTTTTGGGTTTGCTTTTTTTAATGGCTTGTCGGTGCTAATTAACATCCCCATTTCTAAAACCAAGAACAGTACAGCACAGGAACAGGCCCTTCAGCCCTCCAAGCCTGTGCTGACACATTTTGCCCTTTCATACAAAAACGGTCCTCACTTACAGGGTCCGTATCCCTCTATTCCCTTCCTGTTCATGTATTCATCCAGGTGTTTCTTGAACGCTACTATTGTGTCTGCTTCCAACACCTCCTCTGGCAGCATGTTCCAGGCACTCACCACCCTTTGTGTGAAAAACCTGCCTCGCGCATCTCTTTTAAAGCTACCCCCACCATTGTGGGAGGAAGGGTTTCGGTGGGACCAATGCAGTGGGAGTTAATGCTGATATATAATCCGTGACTTGGGGAATATTTAACTTGGAGGATGCTTTACCCTGTGTCTAATCTGCGCTACACCAGATGTGAGCTACCAAATGGATCAGAGTAGAGGGAGCTTAGATACACTCACTTTGAAAAGCCTAGCCTACCAGTACAGAAGCAGCTTCCCTGTGGGACTAACCTTACCTGGCAGTGAGTCAAGGAACTGATTCACTGGAAGGGTAGTCCAACCTATTGCTAACTTGGGAAGTCGCCAAACTGAAACAACTGGGACCACTTTGAACACAATACTAATATCAACCTCATAAAAGTCATTAAAAGCACAATCCAGTCTCAAGTAGCTGCCCTGCGAAGTTTGTGATATTTCCAGACAGCTGTTAGGGATTTGCTTTTTGGGTGAAAGGTGATTTCCCCAGGGCCCGAAAGGGGAGATTTAGCTGAATGAGTAAATCCAGAGATTGTCCGTCGGCCTCCTGAAGTCTCTGTGTCTAACGATTAACCTGGGCTGAAAGGCGCAGGCGAGCTGGTTAGAGTATGAGCTGTGTGATCCTTCACATAGCACTTTACAAAGGTCCCAATCTGCCAGCAACTGTGAGAATGGATATCAGATGCGGGAGGTATCATCCCGTTGACCTTAACCTTCCTTCGGTCATTGAAAGAGTCGGATTCAAGCAACAAGCTCTTGTTTAGAACTGGTGAGATGTGTGGCCTTTTCAAAACCGCAGCAACAAAGCAACGCTTGGCTTCCCTAGTTCCTTCAACGCTCTCCCTCTTTCAAACCTACTGGAGGATTATGTTGTGAGAAGCCCACGAAGGGAAATCTCCCTTTGAGAGTGAAGCGAGTTTCATCAAGATGGGCTTACGGGGCATCAGAAAGTTTGGAGAAGCTGGGCCAGTTTTCCAAGAGAATGAGATCCAATCGAGGTCTTGACACTCACAAAAGGCTCTGGATGAGGAGGTAGCGAGACAGTGTCCTCATGGGGGGAGAACTAGAGGATGCAGACTTAAAGTGTTTGGTTAGAAGAACCAAAGAGCAACACGAGGGGATACCTCTGAATGCGGCGTGTGGTTAGGATCTGGAATTCACTGCTGGATAGTGTGGCAGAGGCTGGGGATTTTGAAAGGCCATTGGTTAGATTTACAGCTGAGGGGAAGAAATCGCTAAGGTTTTGGTGTAAGGTTTTGGAAGAAATCTGCCAGAGCTGCAGGAGTTGGTGAGTTGCCCAACTTGCTTTCTCAGAGGGCTAGTACCGACTTGAAGGACCGAATGACCTCGTTCAATGCGCCAACCGTTCTATTGCTAAGGTCCGGTCCACTTCCCAGGCTCAGGCCTGCCCGATATGGAGGAAAGCAGCGAGTGTACCATCAGACACCGTGTTCCCAGGGGACACACGGCACTGAGGGGTCTCGGGACTGAAGTTCAAAGCAACTAATGCACTCTCTGTCCCACTCTGCGCCAACAATGCTGACTCCCACCGGGTGCGGGCCCAGGCTGCTACCCACTTCCCCAAGACCTTGCCACATTCCACCTGAGCCCTCGTGGTGTCAACCAGCTGTTCGCCTGTGGCAGGCCTTGTAGTGATGTCTTCCCCTTCCTCACCTGACATCTATGTATACCCCCTCTTCCCAGAATGAATGACTAGACGTGTTCAGGATTGGGAGCCCCCACCATGGTCCTATCCTCAGCCAAAGGCGACGAGGGTGGGGGGGCAATTGTACGCACTCGAAGGCCACTATTAACAATTTGAGCTGAGCCATCGTAGACTGGTGGCCCAGTGAAGTCTCAAGGATGTGACAGGACTAGCAACTTTGAAGCTAGTGCCCTCCATCTCTTCCCTTATGTCATCGGCTTCATGTGTTGAAGGTGGAGATGTTTCTTCCCCTGCAATAGAGAAACCAAGCAGCTCAACAATTGGCTATTGTGTGTGCTGGAGAAACAAGTTACATGCTGCAATCCTCTTTTCTGCTCTTGTAAAATTAACGTTAAACAGCTTAGACAGATCTGGTGGGGGGGGGATGTCGTTTTTTTATGACCTCCAAGGGTCCACAGTGATAAAGGATAAATAACTCTTGAGTCTTAACAAGAGGCACTTGTTTTAACCACAAGGTGTAGTTTATTGCGTGATAGCCTAGGTACAAGGTACATAGTCCAAGTAATTATTTGTAACTAGCGAATCAGGGATGACATGCCTGACCTCACAGGATCTTGTGCTCGATTCCACATTCTCCTGATTGGAAGATTGGTTGGTTTTTGACTTCACTCTGATTGTGACCTTGATGGAACCCATAAATGATTGTTACATTGGATGGTCTTTCCTTTCTGTGTGTTCTTTGTGGTAGTCCGTATATCTGCAGAACCCTTACTCTCCTGAGTTCCCTTTGCAAAGGACCTTCTCCTTGCTGTTCTGTCACATTGGAAAGCCATGGGTTTTATCTGCTCAATCTCAGTTTAAGAGGTGAAGTGCTAGGTTTTGAACTGCACAACAGGAGGATGAAATAAAGGAAGATGAGAACAGTTTGATGTGTGGATTAAGGGATCTTTATGTAGATTATAAAAAAATACAGAACCAGCTCTTCCAGACAGGCCTGAATCACCTCCTGGCCTCCATCATCTTAACCAAGCAACATATCCTGCCTGGCCATCTATCATGTGATTCTCCGTGCTCCTTCCTGAACACATTGATGTTCCTCACCCTGACAATCTCTTTGGCTACATGATCCTTGTTCTACATTCTGAAGTTCCTCTGCAATTTCTTGTTGTTTTTCGTCTGATGTTTATAACCCCCCCATTCCTCCTTAAGTGGAAATATTGTCGCCATGGTGACCGTATCAATGCCTCCATCAAATGACCAGGAGACTTCACGGTTTCTGAAGGAACAACAGCTTGCTCAGTCTTTCCCACTATGTATCACTTCACGCGTTAAACTTAGGGAACCTCAGTGCACTTTCTCCACAATGCTCCCATGTTGCTGGTTTATTTAGAATTGTGTACGGTCCTCTCAAGCATCGACTGCTATTGCACCTGTACAGCCTGGTTCAGCAAGATCCACGATCTCAGGTGGGTTATGGTGACCCTGGTTATACTGCGGGGATTCCCGTTGGAAATGTGTGCGTGTGTATGCATGCACGGAAATTGTCAAGACACAAGATTTGATGAGATTTGGCTTGTACTGTTGAATCGTGACACTTGTCCGGGGGTCCTGAGGTCCACGGGCGGTCTGTCCAAGAGAACAGCCGAGCGAAGTAGACTGGTAAAGGGAGGGAAACATGAATGAATCACATTCCTGGAATCATAGAATCCCTGCAGCGTGGGAAGAGGTCATTCAGCCCATTGAGTCTGCAGCGACCCTCTGAAGGGTCATTCATTCCTTCTGTCCACATGACCAACCTGTGATCAGCATTGCGCAGTCTCTTTGGGGATCAGAGTACAAACATCAGCCAGGATCAGATAATTATATAACAGTCCGAAGGCTGTCTGGGGAAAAGGTGGCCGTCGTGGTCTTAGCTCGAGAAGGACCGAGTGTTGTAACGTGAGTAGGAGCTTTATGTTAAACAGCGTATATTGCTGGATATAGTGAGCAGCTGCGTAAAGGTCATATTACAAACTGTCTGTAGCTCTATCCTGTTCTGTTTATACAATCTTAATAAAGGAATCAAACCCTTTCTAC